ATCCACCGCCACATGCATAGTGCACCATGCGTTGGGTTAGGCGCATGGTAGGAGGTTTTGGTGAGAAGTGATTCAAAGTGAGGTTATGTATATATTGCAACTTTTCAATTATTTATTTCATATGTTTATATTATTTTATTTTATTTTAATTGTGTGTGTAATTTAATTATCATCTTTTTATTCTGTTCATTTATCCTAATTTTGGTGTCTTGAGGCTTTATTTTTATATAAATTATGCCAATTATCACCAAACATTTTATTGATAAGCTATTTAATTCGACGTTTCCACCTACTAATGTCGCAAATAATATGTTCAGTGAACATTAAATTGTCATTTAAATTGACATTAGAAGTCGCTCTAGAAATGACGTAGGTGAAACCCCTATAGACCATGACAATTTAATGTTTACTGAACATATTATTTGTGACGTTAATGATGAATATATAACGGAGGACTCATCAAGACTTGAAAATGACCCTTAGTATGGTCGAAACGTCGAATTTAATGCGTATCAATAAAATGTTTGGTGATAATTGGCCTAATTTATATAAAAATAAAATCATCTATTTACTTTTTTCTTGTTATTATTTTATGCAATTTTAAATATTTTAGAATACTACTTGTTTGATAAATTTCAACTTATGGCTATCATGAATTAGAGAGATCATGATTTAGGTTAAAAATAAAATAAAAGAAATGAAGAAAAATGTATAAAAAAGAAAATGAAAAAGGAATTAACAGTGAAAAAAAAAATTACTATATTTGTATAAATTGAGATAGTACTATATATCAATGTATCAGTTTTTGAATACTTTTGTAGAGATTCATTAGTATGCTGTGTCTGTAGCAACACAAATATAGTCGGCCAGCGCCTTTTTATAATAATAAAGTATTTCTTCCTGAAAAATATTTCACCCTTTTTCCTTTAATACCTATTAATTATCAGTTCAAAGAACTGAAATTTTTTTTTATTTTTCGTTTAGCAGCTTAAACTTATTTGAACCTGTCTATTCAGAAGAGGTAATTAACTTTTTTCTAGGATATTACATTTCTTCCTAATTATAAACATCTAAAGAATACTGTGAATTAGAAAAAAAAAATTAATTCATTAATTAATTCTCTCATTCAGCTTCTTCTTATAATAATTTGTATGACAATTTTAGGTTACTATTTTTTATTAGTAACTAGCTAGTTTTGTAACAGAAATTTACAGCATGTATGCGTAGGTTGATACGTATTAACCCAACATATAATTATAATAAATTAACATATAATTAGCTAAAAAGATACTCAATCAGCCTCCAGTAGCTTTCATTACAAGTGAAGAGGCTTTAATTAAAGCGCTGTGATATTCTGTGTCTCTGTTATGCTCCAGTATCCTCCCACACATTCTGAGTATAAATATAGCAATATGGATGTTTTCAGTGTGTTTTAGAAAAATTAGAAGAGATAATTTCTCGATTGTTAACTATAGTTTCAAATAGTAATTATTTAGTCCGAGATTAGTATAAAAATAAAAACGCTTCAAATTATCACACAATGATTTATTATTTTCAAACAGTTAAATATGACATATAACATTACTTTCATGGCTACATCGAGGAAAATACATAAAAGGTGGCTTCTGTAATAAAGGTTTAAATGATATTTTTTTTTTATCATTCCTAATCTGCTAAGAAATAGACAAAGATCTCGATTTTTTCAGAATTCATCAGATGATGTAAGACTTCAGCTGTGCAGCAGAACGTGAGAAACATATTTGATACAACATATATTTGCAACAAATAGTTCGATTTAAACGATTTTTATTTTTTTGGAAATTTCGTAAACTTTTACATGGTCATAACAACAACCGCAAAAGTGTTTTTCTTGTCGGCGAAGTATGTTATATAGATAAATTTAAAGGGCTTTGAAGGAGGAGACTTTAGCCAAAGTTGCATGTTAAATGCAGCATATTGAGAAAGTTAAAACAAATAAATATAGTTAAAAAAAGTAAGATGTGTGCTTTAGACCACACGATAGAAGTGAAAACATGAACTTCAAGATATCTATAATATGAAATATAAATTATAAACTATAGCTCATTATAATGAGGATCGAATGCTGAACCATTTCCCTCTTACAGTATGAAGCTGCGATTTTGAGTATCTGAAATATTTTAATCCGTATGTTCAATTGAATTCATTACCATCTGGTTTCCGACACTATTTTTTCTTTTGGCCTCCCTAACACGGCGTCGCGTTAAGATACAATTTTGAATTACAGAGAGGATGAAATGTTGAACAATTCTCTCGCTTACCATATGCAGGACTGACTTTTTAGTTTCTGAGATATTTTAATCTATATCTTCCATAAAAATCGTTGTCACTTGGTTTTAAATATATTTTTTTCTTTTCGCCTCTCTAACACAGCGTCGCGTTCAAATGCAATTTTAAATAAAAGCCTATTACAGAGAGGATGAAATGCTGAAAAATTCCCTCGCTTACAGTATGCAGGTCTGATTTATAGTTTGAGATATTTTAATCCGTATGTTCAATTGTATTCGTTATCATTTGGTTTTCGACACTATTTTTTCCTTTTCGTCTCCCTAACACTGCGTCGCGTTAAGATACAATTTTGAATTATAGCTTATTACAGAGAGGATGGAACGCTGAACAATTCCGTCACTTACAGAATGAAGCTCCGATTTTCAGTTTCTGAGATATTTTAATCTAAATCTTCCATAAAAATCGTTATCATTTGGTTTTCGACATTATTTTTTTCCTTTTCGCCTCTCTAACACATCATCACGTTCAAATGCAATTTTAAGTATTCCATTATAGAGAGGATGAAATGCTGAACGATTCCCTCGCTTACAGTATGCAGATCCAATGTTTAGTATCTGAAATATTTTAATCCGTATGCTCAATTGAATTCGTTATCATTTGGTTTTCGACACTATTTTTTCCTTTTCGTCTCCCTAACACTGCGTCGCGTTACGATACAATTTTGAATAACCTATTACAGAGAAGATGGAATGCTGGACCATTTCCTCGCTTACAGTATGCAGTCCCGATTTTTAGTTTCTGAAATATTTTATTCCATATGTAAAAACATTTCAATTAGTCTACTCTAGCTAACTTTACCCGAGCGTAAACAATTCAGAAATCTGACGGAGCAATCTAATTCACTTTCCACAAAAAAGTGCAAAACGTGCTTAAAGAGGTTTTTATTTAAATAAAAATTAAATATTTGAAGACTGTATACATTCGACTTGCGATAATTTGAACTCTTATGCTATTAACTTTGGTAAATCGAAAAAAAAATGCGATAATTCGGATAAACGCTTGATAATTTGAATTTTTTTCCTTAACAAGAGGGAGAGAGAAAGCTCTATAGACTTACATAACTAGGCCAATTTTCTTCGTTATAAACCGTATTCTTAGTAATGTTTACTCCTCATTTTCCGCGTAATGTTTACTTCCATTTAGTCCAACTCAAATTTCCAATTATCTTTTGTTTGTCACGATGAGAACATGGGAGAAGTACATCTTCCTTCTTACTGTGATCGACAAATAAAAAAGATATCGCGGACAACAGAAGTAGTTAAAAAAAAAAAAATAATATTGCATTTTCGCTCTCTACGATTCTCATAAATAAAGGAAAATAATTCTTTTTTTTGACCAGAAAAACATGATGGAACAAGAACTATTCTTAATTTTTTTAACTTGGTATGTCATTATCAATGAAATGTATGTATTTTCTTTACTTTTCTACTTGACGTTATGTACATATAAAATTTATTTAAGCTTATGCATATTTTCAAAAATATAATAAAACCTTAATTTTTTTTTATCTTCAAATCTCCACCCGCATCTGCCATGATAGTGACAATTAGTAGATTTGTTGTTACGGTACAAAATAGCATGATAGCCATGATGAAGAATATTACCCAGCAGCAACTCTTTCCTGGTCTGTTTACATCCAGCAAATGAGGAACGATCTCTCATAATCTCTATTAAGTCGCGTGCATGTTTTAATGCCTCCTGATGAGCATGTCAGCCGTGGCCATGTCATTGATAACTCCCTTGTGATGTCCGTGTTGTTTAATATGAAATCAGGAGAGTAAAGAATATTCTCATAGGTTTAAAGCACTATATTTTTACACTAAATCAAACAAATAATTTTTTTTTTTCATTTTCTAGGGAATTCAGGAAGCTTTCAAATAAATGTGGGTATCATCGATCAAAAATTGTGTACTTTTTGAGTTTTAACAATACTTTTGTAATAATAATAATAAAAAAAAAAATCATTGTGGATTAATGGTTGACTGTAGTGAATAATCGAAAGAAGAATGTTTGAGATGAACAGCCAAAACAAAAAATAAAAAAGTAATAATAAATATACTTATTTATGTTTTGTCTGATCACTCAAACGATTCTTCTCTTCAAAAATAATAATAACTGTACTAATATTTAGGATCTAATTTATTATAAAATAGATCTTAAATGTAAGTAAACTGTACACATTAAACATAAGTATAAAGTATAAAAGCCACTCTTACGACTAGAATATAACCATGATTTACAGAAAAAAATATTTAAAACTTTCTCTTAAAGTATTCTTTTTCGTTTATTTACATTTAATAGGACTTCAAGAACAGCTTAAACATATAGGTTTTCATGTTTCATGAATGAATGTTTCATTTCATATAGGTAGTTAATTTCTTTCTTTCTTTTTTCTAATTAGTTATTGTTATGTGTATATGAAAAAAAATCTTTCGGGCTGAAGCCCGCCCAAAAATTAAATCCTGGATCCGCTAGTGCTTACGACCTAACCGTGACATAAACCAAGCTCTCCTGTAATTACACAGATACTGTCTTATAAGGAACACGTCATGTCCTTCCATCGTACACAGTATCATTTTCTTGTATTAAATAATTCATGAGTCGGATCACTTACCATCCCCCAAAGTGGTCAGTGGCAAACCAAACAAGACCCTCCTTTCGAGATAGAAGACGCCTTGGGGTGTGACAGTGAGGAGATCCTTTTCCAACGAGAGGAAACCACTTGCCCTGGGGGAGGATCAAAGTGAATTCGGTGGTCGCGAGGGGGTCTCTGGGGGCACATCTGGCCCTAATTATTGGGGGATAATGGGGCGCCCGAGTCCCCGGGGATCGGCAGTAAATATTCATACTCAACACTCAGGCCTCACACATCCCTCGGTCATGGCCCAGCTAAATTCATTCCAGTAACACAAACTCGAGAAATATTTAAAATAATTATTATTACTTAAATTCCCTCAGATAAATTATTCAATATTAATTAATTTTATTTTTACAAACAAGTAAATATTTAATAGTGGACCGTTGCATTATAAACGAAGGAGATGATCCGGGGTGGCGGTCATTGATAGGCTAAATAGTGGTAAAACTATTTTATTAAAAGCCAACATTTCGACCCGACTTTGCAGGTCTTCTTCGGGGCTAAAACGGACAAGATACAAAAATATAGAGAATTGTGGAAATTACATAATATTTAGACAAAAAATTATAAACAATATGAATAAGCTTATTAAAATTATAAACAGTAAGTACATTAAAATATTAACAGAGTAAGATAAGTAACCAGATCCCAAACTAATGTAAATACATCATAACAATTGTTGTAGTGTAATATATAATAAATGCAAATATGAATACACTTTTACAAATCTATAGGAGAGATTGAAAGGAAAGGAAAAAGGAATGTGGAGAAAGAAGAGAAAAAAAACAACAAATTCAATAAATAGGTAAATAAAATTACAGACCTACAGGTGTGTTCAGCTAGGAGTTTCACTTAGAACTGGAAAACCAGGGTAAGGGCAGGTATTGGGGAAGCGGACTTGTTTGGGTCAATGGGGAAAACCTAGAATATTACAGTATCTAAAATTTGAAGATATGGATGGATACAAGGGAAAAATACTATATCTATAAAATAATAAATTTTAAATATATACATATACCAAATAAGCTTATTCATAATTTTTTGTCTAAATATTATGTAACTTACACAATTCTCTATATCCTTATCTATCTTGTCCGTTCTAGCCCTGAAGAAGACCTGCAAAGTTGGGTCGAAACGTTGGCTTTTAATAAAATAGTTTTAACACTATTAATGACCGCCACCCAGGACCATCTCCTTCCTTTAAACAAGTAAATAATTTTCACGGACGGTTCAAAATCAGAGAAAGGTATTGGATGCTGTATCGTAACCCAAAATAATATTAACAAATGAAAATTAAATAACAATAATTCTATTTTCACAAGTGAAACGTGGGCGATTCTCATGGCATTTGAATGCGTAATCAACGCCAATATAGAGAAATCAGTCATTGTGGCCGATTCCTTATCTGTAATCAAGGGACAGCAAAACAAATGGGCATGTAACACATTGCATAAACAAATTCAACTTACGAACTTGAAACTAATTAAAAATAGTCAAAAAATGATATTGTTTTGGGTACCCTCTCACATTGGTATCATTGGCAATGAACGAACCGATCAGGGAGCAAAGGAAGCCGCCAGAAGCACAGATTTACCTGTTTTCGGATCGATATGTCTCAACGAGTGGATAAGAGAAATTACAAAGAAAGTGGACGACAATCGGAATGCACATTGGAGATTACTGCCACTCAATTACCTTCATCTGACCAAAGACGAAAATCGAACTTTATCCTCCAAAACACCCGACATCAAAAGAATGTTCTATAATAAGCAGGCTCAGAATCGGACATACTGATCCATCTCCACCTACTTCTTGGTCTACATCGACCAACATGTGAGGCATGCGGAAATGCTAATCTGACAGTTGAACACATATTTCAGTGCAAAAAATTCCAAAAACAACAAATAGATGACAAAGCACCGTACAAAGAAAACAGTGTTATTGAAAAAACGCTGAAGTACATTTGACAAATAAAATTAGTAAGTTATATTTAAAAAGAAAGATCGTCGCTAATGATCCTGGCAGTCGATATGACGTTAAAAAAAACAGCAAATAAAAAAAAAGTAAATACAAATTTGTAAAACTTTTAAGAAAACTAAAAATGTGATAGGTTTAATTTTGATGATAAGTCACATTGAATAGGATGAATTTTTGAAGTTTCATATTGCATTAAGACCAATCCTTGATACAGTCATGACAACAATACTAGATTAACATGTTCATAAATAGAACAAATGTAAAAAGATAAAATAAAAATTATGGATGATGTATACGAAAATATTTAGAAATAATAGGGAAAAAGATCTGCCTCATTTCAAGACTCCTTTATTGCTCGCGCTGTCAATTTCTGGAATTCCCTACCTCTCGTATTCCTATCCCAAAAACAGTCAGATGCTTGCTAAGCTTCTCAGTCATGGATAATAAAAACAATAAATAAAATCCATGTGTTTATTTTTTATTTTAGATTTAGGGTTAGATAATATTGTAACTTAATTATTTCTTGACTATCTTCTAATTCCAGACAAATGTCACTTCTTTATTCATTATCATTATTCTTAGGAGACTAAATGTCTCAGAATAAAATTTACTTTTGTTAGAGTCTTTCTTTCTATATAAAAAGTAATATGGATGTGTAAGTAAATGAATGATATCAGTTGACAAGAAGCAGTTAGCCAAGAAGTGGCTAGATCAGGGAGGGAGTGGGAGCAGGTGTGGAGCGGGACACAGCTGTTCGAGGCCTCCTGTATCGGCGGGGGTAGGATCTAATCAACCGCCCTCATTTAATAATATTAATTCTATAAACAACCCAAAGTGGGAGGGGAGAGGCGACTTAAATCCTTTCGGCGGGAACAAATCCCGCGCTTTAGGTTTGGCGGGAGAGCTAATGGCGCCAACTTTATCCGTCTCGGCTTATCTGGGGAGCTGAGGTGGCCAGCATTAACATAAATACTTTAGCCCTTCTCTTCCTCCCCCCTTCCCATACGCGAAAGGGAAACTTTCATAACGTTGTAATATTGTTGTGGTATAAATATCACATATTTCTTTATTAAGTCGATAATTTAACAACTCATAATTCAAAATATTATTATAGAAAGAGTTGGATCGAGGTGGCGGTCATATAAAAACAAAAACATAATATTAGTAACTATTTTATTAAGTCGACATTTCTATACAACTCACTTCTTCTTCAGGGCCAGAACGAACATGAGACAAAGGCTAAAGAAAAGTGTAAAAGTTACAAGATATTGAGGTGACAAATAAAGAAAATTATTAACAGAGTAAATGAAAAGTGTATAATAAAGTATTAAGAACATTCAAATATAAAACAAAATAACCACAAACTACAATAGAGTAAATTAAAAATTAGTTACAATAAACATAGATGCAAACATAAATTGAATATAACAAAAAATATATAAAAGGTTATTCAGTTTTTTTCTCATCCACATTTATTGTTGCCAATTTTTAATTTACTCTACTATAGTTTGTGTTACTCGGTTTTTATGATTTTACTGATTTTATGATTTAAATACTTTTTATTCACACTGTTTATAATTTTTTAATATAAATATCTTGTAACTCCTGCAGTTTTTTCTAGTCTTTGTATCTTGTTCGTTATAGCTCCGAAGAAGCCTTGCACAATTTCATCGAAACATAGGCTTAATAAAATAGTTTCCATTATCTTATCCATGACATTATTCTACAAATGAATTCGTTCGTAATGGACGCTTGTTGTTGTATTATTAATCAAATACGAGGCTTCATTTATTTATTTTATTAAAATACCTTATTTATCAGTAATTATCAAGGTCCAGATTTTTTTTTTGCAATTGAATATTTAGCTTTTTCGAATTTCTTAACTAGTGATCAAATATATTTAAAAAAAAAAAAAGATATGTATGTGTTCTTTTTATTCATTTATTTTAAGGTTATTTTATTCTTATTTATTGTATACATGTTATTTTTCTGTACAATTTATTTTATTTACTGTAAATAGAGTGTGAATGTGATCTGTGACCACTATTATAAATGTCCTTGAGACAGATTGTAATATTTTTCAATAAATAAGATTAAAAAAGTAAAAAAAAAAATTGTTTTTCTTAATATCGCGTTTTACGTTTATTTCAGTCTTACTCCATTAGTATTTAGTATTTATTCTCACTTCTTTTTTACATACTAAAACATCACATTTAAGTAACTACGTCACTCCATTCGTTCATTATATAATACTTAAATTTTGTCTCATTTTAGTTAGTTTGTATTATAATTTTTGTTACCTAATGTTATTGTGTTTATTTCATTAGAAACCATCTTAGTTTATTTTAAAAAGTTAGTAAACAACTTTATTTCATGATTATCCCAATTTGTTACTGTTGTTATTTATTTAATACGTTCCTCTCTATATTACTGTAACTAATTTCTCTCTAATACTGTTGTTAGCTATTTAATAAGTTCCTCTCTTATACTGATATATTTTTTTTTTCATAGCTCCTTACATTATTTTTTTTTTTCATAAGGTAACAGTTTCTCATGTTGTTATCTGGCCTTTTCTTAGCCCGGAACTTTGTGTTGAAACTTCGGCAAATATAAAAATATATATAATTCATTTATTTTCTATTTGTTTATTTTTAACTGAACACCCCAACCAAATTCTCTTCAAATATTTAAAATTCAGTGTACCCAGATGGAAACAGTCAAATTTTATATTGCATGTCTTAATTAAATAAACAAAAAAAAATAAATAATTTTTAATATTAAATTAAAGTGCAACATTGAAGAAAGTTTAAAAAACGCAGATTAAAAACTTTCTTTACTAGCTGTAATAAATGCATCATTTTCATAAAAATTCAAATATTGGATCGATTATTACGATTTCAAAAATAGAGCAATTTTTAAAACTAATTGAGAGATTCCTTTTTGCATCTCTTGTTCAAAACAAATTTCTATTAGAAAGAACACAATGATATTAAGTGGATATAAGTTTTCTCCTACTACTTTTTTCTTTTACAAATTATGTCTTAATTAAATGCTAAAATGAATCTATTATTAATAATAAAATGGTGCGATTTTGGGCTAAGTCTAGGTTGCACTGTCAGGATAAGTCCGATAAAGACAGACTTGGTGATTACGATTAAGCAGCTTACCAGGAAGGAAGATGGTTAGGGCTAAATATGCTTCGTAAGCTGCCATTATTATCCTTTGTATACCC